CGAGCAGGTTTTCCCTCTGCACTTTTCTGAAAACAATCCGAATAGGTGGTACACAATTGATCGTAGCGAAGCGCATTAGGCATTGTGCACACACACAGAGAGAGGACGAAAAACTATGCAACCACATATGGGTAGAGAGCGAGAGAGACGAAACTTCCTCCGGGCTACACAGGGCAGCACAACACTCCGAAATCATTGTATAATCCAAGCACAAAATTACATAATCCACGATTGTGACCCGGAGAGATTCGACTGCGTGCAAGTGTCAGCACACTCACAACGAGTGTGATTGGGGAAGAAAGGCTTCAGTTCTGTGTGTGTGTGTTTGTGTTCACAAGTTGGAGTTGTTCCCGTTTTTTGATTTTCGAGTTTACTTTTCTGATGTATTCTTGTGTGTGTGTGTGTGTGTATGCGATGAGTAAACGCAGATATCACACTGTCCAACCGAGACATTCACAAACAGAATCACTCACACAGACAGTGCGAAGTGTGTGTGACCTCAGATCTGATAGATCTGTTTTGACCTACCCGGTATTGTCGTGGTCGAGGCCACGTGACCTGAGTAGTTCACATTTCCACGCCCCATCCGGTCCGAAACATCTATGTGAATTGGTGGGGTTGGCCATGAAATATTTGTACCGCATGGATGAGAGAGAACTGTACAGGGAATTTCCACTCCGCTCTCTCCCCCGATTCCCGTATCCGGTGAAGAGTTGGTCAGTTCCGTTCGGTGTTTCGTCTGTCGACTGACTGTGCTCGTGGGGGCAATCACATAAGCGGTCGTGGTCACAGTGGATACTATTGGTGTGGACAATTGAGTTGTCGTGTAGCCCGAATTCGGATCCACTGTAGCTCCCCAACCCAATGCGGCTTGTTCTTCATCCTCAATGGATTCGGCGGGATTTAGCATCATGAAAACCGGTTGCGGATGAAAACGTGTTACAGGTGCAATGCGTAGATCGGACCACATAGCCTCGGGTTGATAAACGGGACTGGGATCCGGTGCTCGATGCGTGGACGAGGGCGTCGAAGGCACACGAGGGGGATGGCAATGAGCGGTGGGTTGGCACANGGTGAATTTGCAGATGCACAGGACACCGATTGGAGTGGGATGTTGGTGCTGAATGATAGAATCCGGGGATGGTTTTGCAAGTGGCCTAATGAATTCGAATCGCTATGTCTGAGATCGATCACTCGTAGCGGACTTTTAGCCATTTGTTGTTGTTGTTCTTCGGGAACTCGGACTACAGTCGAGTAATAACTGTTACGGTCAAATGTAGATCCGGTGTATACTCGTGCGCTCTCTGATGTAATGGGGTAATGCACATGATTCGGATCCTTTAAAACACCTGATTTATACGGCCTCGAATACACTGATTCCATCATAGGTGCTTGCGTGTAACCGGACTCTGTTCCATGTTCTACACCGCCCGGCGTACCACGCGGAATCGGGAGTCGAAACGCGGACGCGGAGTCGGTTGACCGCTTTCGATCCCGGGAAGACAGCAAATCTCCGCCAAGAATAGGCTGAGACGAGGTGATCTGGGACTGACTCATTGCTGTTCGATAGTCAACATTAGGACCGTTGCCCATGCTAGACATTGTTAAAATACGTGTATTGGTGTAAACTTTGCAAGGATGTGGAGACTGACCAGTCGAACGATCTCCGCTGCCCAATGACCGATGCACGGCTATATCTACTCCGGAATCATGTGCAGGGCTTTGGAATAAACGAACCACATGGTCTTTTGGGGAGTTATCTCTCGTCTCGGGATTAGAGTTTTGCACAGTAGACGATTGATTCACACGCGCTTTTGGTGACATGAGAGTTCCCATGTCCAATGTCGGATCTGGAATTGTGGTAAGGATGGGGACTTTTTGTAAATCTGCCAATGATCTGGGCATATAAATTTGCTGAGATTTTTCGGGACGCTTGACGAAGTTGGTCATCGGTTGATTCAATTGAGATTGCTGATGTAGTTGTTGTTGTTGTTGTTGTTGATGGTAGCTCATTAGTTTTCCCGCTCCCGATGTTTCAACCGATGCATGTCTCCCCCGAGATGAGCCACGCTTATGCGGTGTTCGCTGACGATGTGATGATCCATTGGGAAACAGCTCATCTGCTTGTGGTGATATCGGTGCGGAAGTTTGGGGGATTGGCCGGTGACTTCGATTCACCGGTGTCACATGATGTACAAGAGAGGTCATCGATCTGGACTGGGCCGGGAAACGACCATTCCGAACGTAAAAATAGATATCTTCGATCTCATCACAGAGCGCGTTCATTTGATCAGTCTCACTGGCAATAAGTGAAGAGGATAAACTTGAATGGGCACGAGATTTTGAACCAATCAAACAACCGGACGATTGGTAACGATCAATAGAGCTGAGAGAAGATGCTCCCCAAGGAAATACTAAATTTCCATTTAACTCGGACTGACTTCCACAATCCCGTGTTGGATTATTCTGCCAGATGGAGAGATCATCCGAATCTTCCGTGGCCAATGCAGCTGACGCGGCAACACTCATCAGTGCGGCCTGAATCGGAGCATATTTTACAGAACTATTCACGGGTCCCAGAGTACGGGTTAAGGGCACGTGAGATGGGCCCGTGTCCAAAGAGCTTGATATGTCTTCTAGATGTTTGATCAGATAAGCCAAACCCTGAGCAGGATGACACGCGGCGAGAAAATGAGCTACACGACATGCATGCAATTCCAACGGTTTCGTGTACTGCACACTGGTGGCTGCATCGGCCAAGAAGAAATTGTGTTGGGCCAGCATATCTGTGGTGACAACAAAGAATCGACTGGGGCCTGGAGGGCGAGACTGTGTGAGCACAGTATGGGAATCCTGATGCATCGGATCCGTGCAGTCCGATAACGGTTCGAGAAAAATCAAATCACCATGATAGCAATGTTCCAACAGAAGCAATGGTGTCTCCCCTAACGAAGCAAATTCCCACGGTGGTGCGAAACGACGATCGACTTTCTCCAGAGGGAACCATTCATTCGGGCGTAAACCGGTCAAAGGTCGAACAAGCCCCGGCAACTGAGAACTGTTCAAAAGGGAAAAGAGACTATGCACACCAGTCATAGTGGTGGGAGAGCTTAGGGGAATTTTGTGAGGCGCAGTATTCTGACGGATATCTGGATGATTTGTTGCATGCGCTGCCACGGGACTACAGGAAATCGATTTAGAATCCAGCGACAAATACACAAGACGAGGTCCATCAGTTAACCACTGAAGGCCATCTTTCATAGATAAATCCGTGGCCGTTGAAGCCACTGGAACTAATGCTTTAGCACCAACAACAGCACATTGCAGCATAGGCACCGTCTTACCACGATGTCGGCTTAGTAGACCTCCAGTCAAGTGACCTGATGCGGTAGTATTACTTCCGGACTGGTCGTATGTTACCAGGCGACATGCACGACAATCTAGCAGCTCTAGTACAGTCCCCGCACGTAAAGTCACTGCATTCGATGCATCTAGGTTGCAGTTAGCCGTCTCCGGCTTGCACACATCAGCAACGCTCATTGTGAGTGGTTGATTCACCGCTCCAACCAGACACTGAACTGGCTTACGCAATAGAAAAAATCGAGGTTTGGCACGCCATAATGCTTTACCACTGGACCAAACGGGAACTTCCGTGCACTGAATATGTGTTCCTTCTCGGGCACTGGGTCGGGATATCAGTTCAAACCACGAAGGACAACACGACGTGAGAACCACAGGACTTGGATCCATTCTAGATTCCGCAAGCGACAGAGGTAGCACACCACGAGACTTAGTAGTCGACCCAGTGGAGGTCTGAATGGTCAAATTCATCGGCGATTTCGGGCCCGATTTGGATGGAAGTAACCAATGTCCTTGAACTAGCGTCACTCCGCTTACGATTTTCAGAGCCAAGGCAGGTTCATTTTTAAGCACACAACGACATCCGGGCTTTCGACACTCGATTCGGACCAATTTAGAAGGTTGATCTACCAAGTAATTCACCGAGCCGACACAACTCTCCTGCTGCATTAGATCCTGTATAGTGAAGCGCATAAAACCTGAGGTAGGGGGTGTTCGACCTGGTGAGTGAGTCACATCGACCGAAGAACTAGTTCGATGTCGGATCCAACGGAAAGGGGTCGGGGTTTGAACAACAGCATGTTCAAATGTAGGTATATAGTCCACAGTTGGATAGTGTGCTACCCGTTTCTGGTCTAATTCAATCATTGATCTATGTTGAACAGGTTCTATCGGTTGATTCAGACGTTGTGAACATGTTCGGCTGAGTTGGGGTGTGGCACAATGTGCGCCGGCGATTGGATGCAAGGTAACTTTGGGTAAACGAAACGTGTCATAGCAATTCAAATGAGTGGCACTTTGAGTGATGATATGTTCCCTGTTTCGTTCTGTAGACAATCGTTCATCACGATAAGCGGTGATCCCAGTCGTGAGAGCCGGTCCGGGTTGTTGGCACGGTTCACAATTTTTGGAGAATTCCACTGGTAATTCGGGTGAATTAACATGATTGGAAAACCATCGATTCACAGGTTGAGGAGTAGCTGTGACAAAGGCCATCATCACAGACGAGTTGAGAGTCACACATCAGTCGCACATCACGGTCACAGTCTCTCACACAGGATAAAAATGTTGCGGCCCGTTGTCTACGCTGCATGCGCAGCTGACCCTAGACCAGTGTACAATGATGGCAACCGGCCGGTGGTGGCACATGCGGGTACGCAGACGCACCAGTGTGAATGTGCGTGCACACACGATTATTCACGCACACGTACGCACGCACGCACATAAACACTCGTGCCGACCACATGCGCGGCTCAACAATCGATATCCAGTATAGTGCATTTTGATTGGTCTACTACAGGTTCAACGAGGACAGAGCTCATTGGCTAACATATTAACCAATCATTTGGACCCAAAGTTTTGCTAACAGACCGAATACATCTAGATTCAACATGGGTTACACACCTGCCGGCTTCTAAACACGCACGTAGAAATACAAACACGCACACACGTTTGTGGGGGTAGAAAAAAGCTAGAAAAAATAACCGGTGATTAATATCCTGTGGGTGGACTTAATCACTAATGCTTAGAATCGAGTTGACACTACTGAATCAAGTGAGGCAGCTCTTGTTCTGAAGTCGTCAGCACATCATTAGTATAATCCAGTCAGATGGTCAGCCCGTCAGCTGATTGTTTGCTTGTTGATTTAGGCTGACGTGTTTAGCTGTTGCTGTTGTTGCAACCACATGGCTCATCAACCAAAGCAAAAAATAGATGAAAAAATGGCGCACAGTGCTGACTCATCTCGACCGTGTGAGAAAAGAACAAACAACTTATCATCATCATCGTCGTTTCTTTGCTATTATTGTCCATGATGGTGGTGGTAATCGTGTAAGACATCAAGGCAGTTGTAGTTGATGAGATGTACAATGGAATTTTTTGTGCATTTTGCTTGTTTGTGTGCATTTCTGAGAGAAAAGAAGGAATTCGATGATGAAGGGAATTCATCTTAAAATGCATATCACTCAGTGGTTACCACCTCGACCCCACCCCATCATATCCTCATACTGCTGCAAAAGTGTTATTATTATTCGTGTCACAAATAATAAGAACAACAGTTTCTGTTTCGTCAGCGGAGAAACCACTGAAATGTGGTGCAATCAGAAACGAAAAATCTGTGAACAAAGATTTACGAGGATTTATTGGAACCTGGTTACGTAACACTAGATACGACTAATTTGAAAACATTCTGGGTTTGGAAAAATTCAAATCTTGACGAAGATTAACAAATTTAACACAGGCAACTTTTGACTTTTTAAACAGGAATGCTTTGTATATTTTAACTGATTTTTGTGTAAACGCGACACTTCATATGGGTGCGGAAACGCTTAAAAGGCAATCTGCACTGGAACTGTAGTCGATTTTGAAAGTAGTTTGGTCAACGGAAAACATTTATGGCTCAGGTATTGCAAGGATTCGATTCCGGGTACTTTGGACATTATTGATAGTATACCTTATTCCTATGAAGACAATCAAGAATGGCCATTGAAGGAAGTATCAAGCAGAAAAGCGTAAATTCGCGTAAGTCCTTCTGTCATATCAAAAAAGAAAACTTTGGAGAGGTGGTCTTCAATGCTGATTAAATCTTCTTGATGACATACTCCTGTTGTTCTTGTTTTCCGAAAAGTCATCTTTGCTAAAAGACTAAATTAAAAAATCAAGTGAAACAAACCATCTGTGACTCATTGCTCAATTGAACGTATCTTGGAAAGCATTCAAAAAATCAGGGATAAAATCATAAAACCGTTGAACTAATCGAATATTGTCAAGTTTACTCGCTTTGTTGGTTCGATGAAGTCTGTTTCGATTTCTCAATGTGCCCAATATTGTTTTTGATAGGGACTCAATATAGTACGGAATCATGGTGATCAACCGTAGAACTATGCAGTTACGAAGACGCTCATGAAAGGTTCAATCACATGATCCATAGGATGCAAAAAGAGGATATCTGGTTAAGAGATGAGGGTAAAATGGCCTGCGATTTAGGACTGTGAAAGATAATGAATCTCATTACAGGAGTTCGCAAGTTCTAGATACCCTAGCACCTAGAAGAGAGATGGGAAGTAGGAAATGAATATTCCTGTATTAAAAATCCCAAAAGATTTTGATGCACTGTAACTCCCGCTTATCAACGTCCCTTGGTAACAAATCAGCTTTTTCGAGTTTTGTCGCTTTGGTTTGTGGATATTCTGATACGACGGAAAGCACGTCAGACTCACCAAATCTAAACACGTGTCAAGTACCAAAAAGTTGTTCAGATGCGCACGCACCATTCAGCACAAATTTATGTAGTTACCTACCTGTTCATTCACCGGTAGGTAATTTAGGGGATAGAGAAAGATACGATAGCGTGACCTTAACCCTGGACCGTTCTCGGTCCTATAGTTTGCATATACACCTACATGGTGGTTTGTACTATAACAATAAAAATAATATTATACCCTGTTCCGATTACACCGGTGAATCCTGCTTGATCGATACACCACTTGTCAATACTATTTAACTTCTTATTCGGCTATATTGCTGCTTGCAGACAGAGTATTTTCTATTCCTCTGATTTCCGCATAGCAGTTCAACATAGGTTCTATCCTTCAAGTACTGACTAATCAAAATGCTCACTTAGTCTGACTA